CCGCAGCAACCTAACTAAATATATTGTATTTATTGTATTTTTATGATTTATGATAAAAACAATAAATATTTGCGTCTCTCTTGTTCTGATAACATGAGACAGTCATGCTGGCGTTGACTCGGATGGTCGTACTCACAACCACAACATCTCTCTTTAGCAAGTTTATCAACTTCGTAAGCAACAGCCTCTGCATATATAGCCTCTAACAAACTAAAAAGCCTTTTATAATCAGAGGACGAAACTTCGTCTGCATGAACACTGTTGACCCAGTTCGATTGCTCAAAATTTTGTGAAAAATTCATCTTCAAAGGCTTGGTATGCAGTGATATCAGTGAATAAACGCGCGGTCTCTTTTATAGACATGTACAATACAATTACTTAAAATACTCATTAATAATTCATAAACCTTGTGGCAAATCATGTCAGCCATAATATGTCACGTGGAGTGACTTTATATCTGATAAAACACATGTGGCATTATATAATTGTTCATCTTAATTAGCATGATTATATTATGGTTCATCCTAATTAGTATTCTTTTGTAGTCGTATTTTAAGTGCTATTCAAAACACTCGTTGTCGTGTTTTAAATAGTACGTAATGCTCACTAAATACAATTAAACCGGATAAACACAGTTGAACGTGCATACTCAATAATTCATGCGGGAATAGTTGAACGTGCATACTTAATAATTGAGCGGGTATTTCCGGTGATGTCATTGATGATATGACGTCATTGGCGTCATACATACATTCGCTTCAATACTAACTACTTCCGGTGGTAGATGGGTGGGGGGGGGGGGGGGGGGTAACCTACTCTCAGTACTACCGGCATTCATACCCGCTCCTGACACACCACCTATAATCGAACCTTACCAAGTTTATAGGAAACTTTGTACTCTTCAACCTTTCAAAGCATGTGGCCCTGATAATATTACACCTCGCATATTAAAGGAATTTGCTCATGAGTTTTCAGAACCCGTTGCAACTATTTTTAACACATCCCTAACCTCTGGAACATTTCCTGCCGTCTGGAAAGATTCGTGCATTTCCCCAATTCCAAAAGTGTCACATGCAACCGACTTGTGAAGGAGATACTCGACCAATCTCTCTCACCCCTTGTCTATCCAAAGTCTTAGAGGACTTTGTTGTACAATGGATGATGGCAGACGTCGTGAATAATATTGACATACAGCAATTTGGTTCTTTGAGAGGATCACTGCCTTCTCGATATGATACATAATTGGCTATTCCACCTTGACTCTCCTGATAAGCATATCCGTCTACTATTTTTAGACTACACAAAGGCCTTCGATCGTATCGGACATAATGTGCTTATTAGCAAGCTTATCGATATCGGAGTAAGGCACTCTCTGATCCCATGGGTTATAAGTTTTCTATCTAACCGTAGACAGTGTGTTAGACTTGGTGGCGCTACCTCGGACTGGCTGGCGGTTACAGCCGGTGTACCACAAGGTACAAAATTGGGACCAATCTTATTTTTGATTATGATCAACGATCTAAAGATCACATCCCCAGGGAATACTGGTACTTGGAAATTCATGGATGATGTATCCATTTCAGAGACCCTGTTGTTAAGAAACAGTGAATCCCATATGCAGAATCACCTTGATGAGGTCATCACATGGGCTGACAACAACCTAATGAAGCTAAATCCAAAGAAATTCAAAGAGATGCACGTCTGTTTCCTCAAAGAGCGACCCATTTTAGAACGTCTCGATTTGAGCTAGGGGACACCCCTTAGAAATCGTTTCCCATCATAAGGTTCTTGGCTTGGTTATACAGGATAATCTTAAGTGGAATGGGCATATTGCCATGATTGTTAAAAAGGCCTCCAAGCGTTTTCATATCCTTAGAGTTCTTAAACGGGGTGGAATCCCACCTCATGAACTGATCCTTATTTACGTACTATGCTCTCATTCGCTCCGTACTAGAGTACTGCTGCATTGTATGGCATAACAATCTACCAGCTTATCTGGCGGACTCAATTGAACGAGTTCAGAAAAGAGCACTGAATATAATCCTCCCTGGCAGGTCTTACCGTGAAGCTTTGAGTCAGCTCCATTGTTCTCGCCTAAATGAGAGACGCGATGCTTTGTGCGAAAGAGCGATTAAAAAGATAACTGATGGTAACCGCCTGCCCTATCTCTTACCTCAGACTGGAGAAAACGTGAACTACGATTTACGTAATTCTAACAATTGGTCATCGTTCAAATGTAGAACTGATCGTTTTCAGAAAAGCTTTTTCCCAAGTATGATTCGAGTTTTAAATATGTCATCATGACACTTTTTTGAATATCTAAACTATTACAATATATACTTTCCTCACATCTAAATTTTTAAATTGTAAATATAGTATTAAATTTATTGTATCTTTATAACTTAGTTATGGAATTATTGTAAGCATATTGTAATTCAATTTTTTGTGATAGTGTGCCATTATATATATAAAACGCATATAACTCAAGTCATTAATGAACCTACGAGAATTACGGAGACAACATCCACACTGATAGACTTAATACTTACAAATAAACCTGAATATATTTCGACTGTTGGTGTTTTACACCTTGGTATATCCGATCATAGCTTAGTCTATGCTGTAAGAAAATTTGAATTACCTAAATCTAGACCAAATACAAAAGAAGTCCGCGATTTCAAACACTTCTCTGAATCGCAATTCCGCGCTGACTTATTGCAGGTACCCTGGGATACGATTTGCTACGATGATCCCAATACATGCTGGATTGTATGGAAATAAATTTTTTACGAAATTTTAAATAAGCATGCACCATGCATTGACGTTACAAAATTACTTTCACACGGCAAGGATTCACATGTAATTATCATGAAATTACTTAAAATTAAAGTAAAATTATTAATTTAGTAATTTGACTGGAATTGCAACAGTGATGCCCTCATGTCCCTTACGAAATCAATGTAGTATTGCGGAATGAGAAAGAGCATTCAATATAATTTAACCAGATATCGGAAATGAAATACACAGTATTCAATTTCTCCAAAGTCATATGCACTACTGAACCAGTGAACGGGCAAACTCTGGCTACGACAATGACGACAGATTGACTAATGGCATGTCCAACAACTGTCGAACTACTTGATTGAATAACTGTCAGATTGACCGACACACTGGTCAACCGAAAATTTATAAACAGACCTTTAATTTGTTTGTTTATATTAAATAGCTTACCTCTACAACTTTCCTACATTCAGGACAGTTGATATGATTTGACTTGCCTTTCTTTGCAAGATTTACAATACACTCATGACAGAAGGAATGCAAACATGGTAAAACCTTGGGGTCTTTTAATTGTTCCAAACAAACAGAGCACGTCAAATGTTCCTCAAATTTACTTCGTAAAGATGCCATATTGAACAATACTAAAAATTGAATTAACATGCATATTAAACATATGGTAAAATAGAGAGCATTGTTTAACTATGTACTGGATATGAATGCAGTTATGTAGTCTGTATAAATACACAGTTAACACACTTCACAAAGCATCAATATCGCTTTACCGGTATTACTAGGCTCCTAAACCAAATCTTGAACAATTTTAATTGTTAAAACACCTAGGAATTTTGTACTACAGAATACGTTTTTGCACATTATGCATGTCTTATTACTACAAACGCGTACGCTTCGGCCCTCTGGTCCAAACTGCATGAGCATGTCATATTTTCACGTCAAAACATTTAACACTCAGGCCTGTTTCAAACGTCGCGCTTCTCATGTGCCGAACGCGCATTAAAAACAATAGATAATGAGCTGAAATGCCCAGCTTAAGCGATACCATATTTCACACAATTTTCCCGAACAATGTCAATGTATTACCAACTATTAAAGGCATAAGTGCATAACCTTTCGCCGAACTTTGGTCCCTTTCAACATATCTTTTTCGTAATAGTCTTGTTCGAATCAGAATCCAAAACACTATTCAGAGTGTTATTTTCAAGCTTGTATCTACAGATTTGCATCTTTTATTTTGGTATTTCAGAATATCTAAATTTTTAGTGAGAGCTTCAACCGGAAATACAAACTGATTGTCGAAACAATGCTGTCCTAGCACTCGGGAAACGTCGGAAACCGTTCGTCGGAAACCGATTCGAGTCACATTACCCCTGTAGCGTGGCCGAAGTTATATCGGTTCAGCGAAAGGTACGATCTCGCTTGCCTTTCAGAGGCAATAAATCGCTACAATGTTGATAATGACTAAAGCTATTGTAAGGAACTATTTGATTTTTTCATAGCATGCACTAAACTCAAGATATGAACATCTAAAGGTCCATACACACCGGATGCGATTTGACAACGCGACGCGATTTTTCGATTTTCACTGAACGATAAGTCAGGCCATCTTTTAAGAATTCGTCAGTGGGGGGGGGACTCTACAAAGAGACATACTGCCAAGTGTGGCAAATGGGCGTGGTATCGCATTTAATAGTATGGGGGTCTGGGGGTATTCTCCCCCAGAAAATTTTTGTATTTTTCTACCCCTATGACTGCAATTCCTACATTTTCTGAAACAGATTTTTGGATATAGAGCATTACATAATGCTGTAGATAGACTGAACCTTCAGTGAAGTACTTGCATGGTATGTTTATGTAGATACCACAACTTGGTCACTCAGGGAGCCAGCTTGATAAACTTAGAGGATCCAACTCCCAAGAAGCGCCACCATGGTTGGCACAGAGCGGGGAAATTTTGAAAATTTTGTGTCTCTAAATCGTCGGAAATGGCATTTTCAAAGTCTTTTCTACCTCTTTTTTTAGGCCCTTTCATTAATTATTTCATTATGATTTGTGAGTCTATGCTATCCGTATATACATATATAAATATATATATACATATACATATATAAATATATATATACATATATACATATATACATATATAAATACATATATAAATATATACATATACATATATATATATATATATATATATATACACATATACATATACATATATATATATATATATATATATATATATATATATATATATATATATATATATATATATATATATATATATATATATATAGGATATTTCACGGTGGCACGGAAATACGACTTTTATTTTCGAGTGAAAATAAAAGTCATATTTCCAAATCCACCGTGAAATGTTCCTTTTATTATACGGCCAAAATAAATTTTATCAAGATTTTTGTAGCTCACCGTACGGCAACAATGTCCGCTCGTTTATCGAGGCTAAATAGTGGCTGAAGATCGCCAAATCGGACATAGTCTTCCTTTTTGTGTTTTCATTTTCATTTTCTTCAGAAAACCTTGCCAAATTAGCGTCGTAAACATCAACAAAATGTCGAGAAGTTGCCATAGTGTATATTCAAATATACTATATATATATATATATATATATATATATATATATATATATATATATATATATATATATATATATATATATATATATTTTATTATATATATATATATATATATATATATATATATATATACGATTTCAAATACTTCTAGTTTCGAAATCAATTGGGTTTTTTTGTGGGGGGCCAAAATTATCCCCCCTTATAAAACACTGGGTTGGGGGCCCGTTTTCCCCTGCTTCCTACGCCCCCTGCGGTCACTAACTTGTTTAGCTGTGCCTTCCAACAACTCAAATCTATAGGGTCTGGGAAATACAATCCACTGGAAAATGTTTAAAATCTAATAAGGTACTTACAACACAATGTTTACCACTAAATAAAGTTAAAAGACGGGACATAATATTCACAAAGCAAATTTCAGTTACTAGAATATCAAACATCCCTTCTAAATTCCATGTTTTGCTTATATCTTAGAGAAAGGGGGGGAATGGTTGAGTGGGGGCACCGGGGGGGCTGAGGTGGCTTTGCCCCCCCCCCCCAGTAATATAGTTAAAAAATGCCCTGCAGCTGCATCTACAACGAGAGCCATCGTTTTTACGTCTACGTAGCCAACAGAATTCAAATCATCCGAAGTATCACTGACCCTTCTCAATGGAGATACGTGGAGACAAAGGAAACCCCAGCTGATATAGCAACAAGAGAAAAATCTGCCAAAGATTTGATGGAGTCAGTTTGGTTTGAAGGCGCAGAATTTCTGAGAAACGTTGATCCACCTGCAGAAACGGAACTCAGCCCCGAACCTTTCTTGATTGCTGACAACGATCCAGAAGTTCGAGTTAAGGCTACAATCTACACTACCCAACTGCGTGTAATCAAAGGTCTGACCTCAGAAGGATTCAATCGATTTTCCAAGTGCAACTCCCTCCGAAGAGCGATTGCCAATATGATCATCAAAGCAAAGACATTGAAAAGCCAAAACCAAATTTCAACATCCCGCAAAAGGAATGCCCACCAAACCCATCTGGTCAAACTACCAGTCCGAAAGCTGCCAAGAAATCCACCTGCTGCAGAACTAAGACAGAGCGAAGTGGTGATGATCAAAACCGCACAGAGCGAAGCATACGCAGAAGAAATCGAAACCCTTCAGCAGAACCAACTGTCTCAGAAAAGCCTTTCTCCGAGATCCAGTATATATCCTTTACAACCTTTCGTCGACGGTGATGGTGTCCTTCGCGTTGGCGGTCGATTAAGACAAACAGACCAGATGTTCCAAGAGATACATCCAGTTATATTACCCAAAGGATGTCATTTGGCGAGACTAGCAATCACCCATTACCATAGTAAAGTGCATCACCAAGGAAGACAGATTACCCATGGTGCATTAAGACAAGTGGGATTATGGATTATCGGAGCCAAACGAATGATCTCAAAATTATCAACCAATGTATCACGTGTAGAAAACTCAGAGGGAACGTTATAACGCAGCATATGGCTAATCGTCCACCAGACAGACTAGAAACGCCACCACCATTCACAAATGTGGGGTCTGATGTATTTGGCCCTTGTCAGATACGTACTCGAAGACTAAGAGGGTGAGCTGAAAACGCTAAGGAGGGATGGGGTTTAGTCTATACTTGCCTGAACTGCAGAGCGATCCATATTGAGGTCTTTGAAACAATGGCTCAAGTTCCTTTATTTGCGCCTTAAGACGCTTCTTTTCTATTCGGGGACCACCATCGATATTGAGGTGTGATCGAAGGACAAATTTCGTCGAGGCAAAGTCAGAATTGGACGAAGCGTTGAAAGAATTGGACCATAAAGCATTAGCAAAATATGTCGTCGGACAGAACTGTGAGTGGGTTTTTAACCCTCCCCACGCATCCCACTTTGGCGGAGTCTGGGAGCGCCAAATTGCCACCATTCGGTAAGTCCTTAACGGAATGTTATCTGATCTCGGTCCTTACCAACTTACGCACGACTCGAACTTTTGGCAACACTTATGGTTGAGGTGTCGGGAATTGTAAACTCACGTCTTATTTCTACAGGACCATCCGACGCAGACCAACCTCAACCCCTAACTCCTAACATGTTGCGGACAATGAAGACAAGAACACTAATTTCACCACCAGGAATCTTTACCTCTCATGACCTATATTCCCGCAGACATTGGAGGCGAGCGCAGTATCAATTTTAGAGCAGATGTAAGAACGAATATTTACAAAACCAACACATGCCTCTCGGAAGAGCAGGGCATTTTTAAACTATATTACTACTGGGCACTTACCCCAGTAGGCTCTGTGCTTACCCCAGTAGTGAACCTTGACTTTCTTGTAGAATGGGCCCTTTTCTCACTGTGCACGTGAAGGACTTAAAAATGCTGCTTCATTAAATGGTGTGGCTTTTTTATTATCTATATTGTATTATTGTAACATATCAGTCTTGAAATTCGTTAATTCTTGCTTTTTATTATTTATATTGTATTATTGTAACATATTAGTTCTTAAAATTCGTCTTAAAATATAGCCAGCTGTCTGTAACCTGCTCGCAGGCTAATTAGTATGAATCCTCTATAACAGTCATACACGAAGTACTTCAACTTGAAAGTTTATTCGAATAGCGCGAGAAACAACAAAGTAATATGATGTAAATTTAAGATTAGTTATTCTTTAACCATGCGATAGTTAAAATAACAAGTACTCAGATGAACTTTAATTCAGTTTTCTTTGTTCGAAGCTATAAACTATAACCATTAATAGTTTATTTATTTATCAGTTAAATTTCATTTAATATCAGATCTGCCGTCCACTCGTCCAGAAGCAACATAAAATGGAAAGAAAAGAGAAAAGTGGCCATGAAAAACGCATCAGGAAATCGTTGAAAGAAGCTGCTTCAGCTACCGGGCAGAAATCTTTGCTAACATTTTTGGAAAAAAATTCTAATGTAAATGCAACAGAAAAGCGGGTACAACAGCCCTTGTTATCAGGAAGAGAAAGTAATATTATAGCTAGAGGTGATGGGAATTATCTAACAGTTGTTAGTCAAAGCCCACAGGCTCTTTCAATAGAAACTCAAACAAGTTGCTGGTATAAAGGCAAAAAACTAGATATTAACTGGCTGGTGTCATGTGCCGAAGACTGCTTAGAGTTGGCAAAAGAGGTCAAAGACAATTGGCAAAGACCAGTGATTAAATGTTTATTGTGCAGCAAGAATGAGATGGAAGTGAGAAAGTTCGCCAACAATGGAAAAATACCTCTCGCATGTGGAGTTCGTGTTGATGGGAAGGACAGATTAAGTAACGTAGTAGATCATTTATTTTCACCCGCACACAAAGAGTCTTTGCGTTTAAAGCAACTTGATGAATCATGGAATAATTCGTCTGATAGTCATCGAAGGATAAAAGTGATGAAAAAATGCAAAGCTGAAACATTGGAAATTCTTTTACGCCTGGCAGTTGATGCGTACAATGATTGTAGAACCAAACGCTCAGTGCTATTGCCATCAAGGTCTTTGGCAGTTGAACACAGCAACCATTTAGTGCGTGTGTCCCAAAACGAAGGATGGGATGCAGAGTTTGTTTCCTTCGACCGGCCTGGCTCGTTGTATCATTACCAAGATTCTGTATCTTATGCAGAAATGAGAGATATAATTGGTCAGCATGAAATGGAGAAAACAGCAAAATTCTTGAGAGATTGTCTTTGTTATTCTGTACAAATTGACGGCAGTTCTGATCGCCAGTAAGTTTACTCTAAGTTCATAACAGCAAGGTATATGTCTCCAGAAGAGGTAAGTGTCAATACTCTTTTTCTTGGGATCTCAGTGGTGTTAAGGTTGAGACAACAAAGCTGGTAGGTGTAACAACTGATGGGGAGAATGCCAAAACGTTAAAGCATGGTGGTTTGTGGAAATTGTTAAGAGAACATACTTGAAGAGATATTGTGACTACATGGCGTGTTTTCCATCGGCGCCAGGCCTCAGAATTTTTTTTTTTGGGGGGGGGGAATTTGAGGATCAAACTCATATTTTTGGGGGAGGAGCGAGATAGAATTTTTAGAAAGGTCGCCCCCCCCCCAGGAGATTCGCCCCCTCTGAAAAAGGGGGCGAATACCCTAGAAATATTTTATTTGTAAGCAGTTAACCCAGTATGTACAACTTTTTGACATTTCCAAAACACTTTGACGTGAGATTTGCTGAACTCACGTTAAACATTTTAAAGGCTGTGCTGAATAATCTTGAAGCTGCCAGAAACCTATGATCGAAATGGCCAATGGGACTATTGAATAAGACAAAACAGTAAAATTAAAAAGCAACAGCCCAAGGTTTTCTAAGAAAATAGAAGAAAGGCACACAGCAGGTAATTAAATGTAGTTTGTCATAATTATTGAAGTATGATACATGGTTTAGTACAATCACCAAAATAGTCCAATATATTTACAGGTGTGGCTGAGTACTGTCATGTTTGATATTTGAAACATATTCAAGAATCTGCAAAAAGTCTTTCAAAAGTCCAACTTAATATTGTTCGATGTTATATCTGCCAGAGATTCTGCAATTGTTAACCTCAGCGGCTTGAAAGAGATGCCTCTACCTGGTGGAAAAGAAGAGAAGTAACGGGAAGAGCTTGAACATTGTAGTGCTGAAACTGATGAAAGTTGTGGACGGAGCCAGGGGTCCAATGCAAGAAATAAATATGCAACCACGACAAGCAAACAAGAGAGCGCTGTGCGACTTGAAGTTGTTCAGCCTGCCATCAACTTCCTTGACCAAAGGATGAACATTGAAGAAGACGACACTATTCACAACTTGAAAGAGATCCTTGATGCAAAGTCACCCACGGAGTTAATTATTGCAAGTAGAGGTCTGGTCAGTCAAATATTCAGACCTGATGATTTTGGACAATTTGTTGAAAATGTCTGCCAATCATGGACAAAAATTAGCAATATAAATTATGTTGTTGACATTCAAGATGTTGGCACATCGTGTGCTTTACGTTTGAGAAAAATGACGCAGGCTAGCTGTGGACTTCTCAAAAAGTTTCGTGCAGCGTTATTAACGTTGACACCATACAGCATGGCAAACTGAGTGAGCTGTATTACACTATAACAATATTAAGACAGCTGGGAGAGCATCTTTTAAGCTTGAAACAATCAACTCAATCATGCAAATTTTGTTAAATGGAAAAGGAACTTCTGTTTTTGATCCTAGACCTGCAGTTTATGAATTCCTAAAAAAAAGATAGACGGAACCGGGCACCAAACAAGAAATTTTATCAGAATCGGGATTTTATCAAGAATTTTTTTATGCGTGAAAATGGATGCCTTTAAAGAAATGCATGGGTCAAACCTACTATTATAGGTCAATTAGACAAAATATGTTGTGTTACTATGCTATATAACTATGTTACTAAATGTTGTGTTGGAAAGTAACCGAACGTTTGCTTATAAATAAAAGTAGAAACGAATGGTTTTAACTCAAGCTAATTGCATGACTGTCTTACGCAAGGGCCCTAAACACACTTTACCCCGGTAGTCAAAATTCCTTAAAAAATGCCTTGGGAAAGAGTTGTGGACGCATTGGAAAGTAGTAATGACAGTTCAGTCAGAAAGCTTAAAATTGTGAGCTGGAGAGACGGAGAAAGGAAATAATATCTTACACGATAAGTGAATTAGTAATGAGTACATAAACAGTAGCAAGAACAAAACTTACGTTTTACTCTTGGGCGAGGAATGTGATGACTCTTGACATTATCATCATAATTTTGCATGCATATCGCATGGTTGAACACGCGGCTAGTGTATAACCGCCCAAAACTTATTAATCATGACTTTTATTATTCGTTCACATTCATCTGCATGGAGTACAGGGGAAATATTCACTTGGGGAATAGGAGAAATCACTAGCTTGTCATAGACCTGCCTAATCGGAGCATAAACTTTTTTACCGTATTAAAAACTATATACCGTATGGTATTAAAACATACTTTATACCGGTCTGGTTGAGACTTCATCCCCAATTACACTCGGGGAACACAATATGTAGTGGAAACTAGTTTTGTATTTTCGAAAAAATTATGATATGTCCGAATTTGGGAAAAGAAATATTAATTATAGATTGTTGTGACTCTGCAAAATATGCCTTGATAACTCGGAAAAATCAACTTACACCTCCCCCCCCCATTCAAAGAGCTCTACGACGCCCCTGAATGTTGCAATACCGCACGTACTCCATGATATAATAATAGGATTCTATAATACAAAAGGTTAACGAACTAAATACGAACATGAGTATCAAAATTAAAGAAGTCAATAGTGTGTGCTAAAAACATGTAAAACTTTTGACCTTGCTCCTGCGTTTGCTAATGGATTTTTACGCAGATTTTTTTCACCATGGCCATAGGGGCAATTTAGGTCCTGTACGCTGAAAAAGGTCTGAAAGAATAATTAATAATGACACTCTACAAGTCGTAAATTCAGGTAAATACTAGATATCGTTCATTTTTGTATCTTAATGTGTCATATCAGGCTTTATAAATTAACAGGAAACAAGTTCGAGGTTTGCTCTGTAGAATATACTGAAATAAAAGCGCAAACTGTTTTCAAAATTATAGTATCACTTGCCGCGGTCTTAAGCCCTAAAATAAAAAGTCACGTTTAGTAAAATGTCGATTTCATCGTAGTATCTAGTATGTGCACATGCATGTGTTTTGGTATTTTTTTCCACAATTAAGTGATATAAGAATATTGGATACATTAGTATATACTCCTAACAAGTTTTTATCCGAATTCAAACTGAGTGAAAGAATTAGGAATTGCTGTTTTCAGATTCTATTTCGGTAAAATATTAAGCTTGTATAATAAACAGTCAAATATTTTGCACAGATAGTAAAACAGTTCAGTTAACTTACCAAAGCCGTCCAGCACCATTTAGTATCAGTTTTAGAATTTTCATGCTTTAAAATCAAAAGTAAAAAAAAACCTTAATGCTCTAAATCCGAATGAAATAAAATTGAAGAAAATAACAGTCTTTCATTACAGCATAGACAATCCAGAAGACATGTCTTCTGGATTGTCTATGATTACAGTTTATATTTGCCTCTAGTCAATGTAATTTGCATTAAAAACACAGAAAGTCCGAGGTTGCTGTGCAGAATTTAAATAAAAAGCGCAAAATGATTTTATCAAACCTTTTTATACATCCTTAGATTAGTAGATTGGGATAGCTTTAAGTTTTCACTGCTGGAATTGGGGGGTCAAGGAGGGTCAGACGGTCAGTTCGTCGTGATTTTAAGAAACCCGTAAAACGAATATCATTGCGTATTCCCCTTCCCTTTCTCTTGACATTCAAAATTTGCTTGAATTTTGCACTTGAATAAATGAACAAGACTTGAAAAAAAGGTCTTGGCGCAGAGTACTATAATGTCTTAAACATGTGTAATTTTCGGGCGACGTAAAGTGCAAATTCAGCGAAGATGATCGCCTGGAACTAAAGCGCTGTAAATGAAAATGAAAAAGCAAAATCAGGTTCATACCTCACTGGTTTGTGCTATTTCACTGTAAAGTTCTGGGAGAAAACTATTTTCTGATCCAAAAATCCAGTGGACAGCAGCCTGCGTAGCGACTCTCCGAGGAAAGGAGAGCCTGCACGAAACCCCATGCATTGCCGTTTTTACTCGTTCTCCCAGAGAACGAGAAATATGCTAATTTATGATAAAAATAATCTTTGATTGATAGCTTGGTCGTGAACAAACACAGAGAATTGCTGTGAATGCTTATGAACAGGACTTGCTCTCGCTGGAGTGACGGCTTCAGACACCTTTCCCTTCTCTGCATCGCTTGAAACTTTGACATTTACATCAGGATTGATGTCGAAACTAATTTGTATGCATCGATGGGATTTCGTAGCTTTCTCCCACACGGAATGCAAACTACTTGTGACGATGATGTAGACTGCTCTAGCACTATTCCCACATTTTCTTTAGCGGACATCCGTATATTATTTCGTTTTGCAGTCTAGAAAGTCAGAATGGGGGAACAGGGAACGGGGGAACAGGCAATGGGGGGAACATGCAATGGGGGAATGGGGGAACCGGGGAACTGGGAAATGGGGAACAGGCAATGGAGGAATGGGGGAACAGGGAATGGGGGAACAGGTAATGGGGAAATGTAGGTTAATGAATTTTTCTTGAAATTTCTAGCCAAAGAAAGATTTAAATACGTGTTGAAAGGAAATCCACTGTATTGCAATTATTTAAATGAAAGTGTTGGCGTGCACAGACTCTTTATTGATAGTAATATTATAATTAAATAAAGTAAATATAATCATATATATTAATATTAATTGCAACTATTAATTTAACTGTATATTACAATATTTAGCATATTTACAATTATTGTACATATATAAGACATATAAAGCATGCATAAAGCATCAATAAAACATCAATAAAATTCATGAACTGTTGACGTCGTTTGAAGAGTAGATTTTCAAATTTAATATTAGTTTTTGACATTAGGGAGCAGTCATTATTATTGCTGGGGGTGGGGCCGGAAGATATTGGGGAGGGGCACCAAAAATTTATTAACCACTTAGGGGGGGGGCTACCAAAAATATCAAAGAAAGGTAGGGGGCGGCACCAAAAATAATGTACAATAATCATAAAACATCGGCAATTATAGTTCACTGTAATATAACTGTCAATGCTATATAATAATATAAGTATAGGTAATCACATGGGAAGGAGTGTAATTAATGATTAACACTACGAGTGATGTTTGAAAAATGCGCTAAAATTGCACAAGCCATTAATAATTAATTGTACGACTTGTCCGTGTGATTATTTATTTATTTTATGCATGGCATGATGACAAAATAGTTTTCTTTAAAATTCAACTTCATTTTGTCAAGAGTTTCTAATTCTTTTTGTAAGCAATTTGGCATAAACAAACTTGAAAAATGATCATAAACTCATAAAGGCACATAACTTAAACTAGGACAAATTATTCAAACTCAAATAACATATGTTCAGAATATTAAGAAAATCTTTTGATATAAATTGTATATTTACAGACTTGCATATAGTCACGTTTCGCTGCATCTCGCCGAGATTATTTCTTAAAACTGTTTCCAGGTATTCTCCACAGGATCTTTTTGCCAGACTATGTTTTTTAAACTCATTCTTGTGCCAAAATTTATAGTTCAATTCGTCCATGTAGTTTTTATACAAGATAAAGATAAACAAAATGACTATATGACCGGCAGCCGGTCACGGTTTATCAAATATTAAATGGCCGGCAGTCTAGTGACTATAGTTGAATATAAAAACTTTTGTTTGCGTTAACTTTCACCGAGCTTGCCGTTAGGTCATATGGCAAGGACGCTGTGTGCGGAAAGTTAAACGCAGTCGAGGTTGGGATGTGTTTTGTCTGATTTAGCATTATTTTTTCTTAAAATTTTTTAAACTTTTTTTCCCGACTTTTCTAACTCTCAAAAGGTTAGGGTTAGGGGTTAGGGGTTAGGGTTAGAAAAGGGTTTGGGTTAGGGATAGGTTTATCTTATAAAAATTCAACTTTAACTATAGTCACTAGACTGCCGGCCATTTAGTATTTGATAAACCGTGACCGGCTGCCGGTCATATAGTCACTTCGTTCAAAAATATCTTGATATTTTTATCAATTTATCTTGAATTGGCTGTCTTTTTTTTATTCCGAAGTTATTTATCAACATGGAATCTTATCCTCATCTGGTAAGTAGTCAAATACCACATATTATATATTTAAACAGTGGCGTGCTGGCAGGGGGGGCCGGGGGGCCACGGCCCCCCCAGCTGGCAATTCTTGGGGGGCGCAAAAATGAAAAAGGGGCGCCGAATTTTGAAAGTGGGTCGGAAAAAACGCATTTTCGAAAAAATATGGTTACTTCCGCCAAGAAAAGACGTGTTTATAGGCTACAGTATAAAACAGACTAAGCGCATTGGCGACATATATTAAATTCACTGAAGGGCTTGAATCCGGGTTTTTCCATTAATTTAGTTTATTGTACGATCATCCAGATTAAATTTCTTTAATTATATCTGACGTTTCGGC